AGAATTCCCCAACCAGCATGGCTGGGTGGGGGATTCTGGGAGTTTAAAGCCACTCATCTTAAAATGGCCAAAGTTTGACAAAACTGCCTTTGGAGCAGATGTGATCGACTGAGCTGAAGCAGGGACCCAGATGAACTCAGTATTTGCTGCGGGGAGAGAGCAATAACAAGACAACCCTACCTTTAGCAATTAATTGGAGGACTGCAGTTTTCATCCAAAACTGAAAGAGAGAATGAGTTAAGATCAGTGCATCATTATTGGTTAACTGTCTATAGATGGAGTCAGATACAATAGGAGAAAAAAAACTTTTTAAAAGGTAAAGTATAGCCTCACATTGGGCTAAACTCCTGGTGACTACAGTCCTCTTGTTTCTTGCCAACAATAAATACAGAAATGCTGGCTCCTAGGATTTTTTTTTGGGGGGGGGGGAGGAGGAGCAATGTCCTACTTTAATTTACAATCTAGGGATTTTCTGGTGATCTCCCATCCAAACACTAATTAAGTTCAACCCTTAGACCTTCTGCTGTGCTGTGCTTTTTCTATTTTAACCCCAGACAACATTTTTGAAGGTCATGGAAAAGTCTTGCATATGCCACTGTAGTACGGGGAACTGGAATGCACACTTAGCTGTTCATCCCTATTATTGGAATTAATACAGAATAGTCCACATCTGTATCCAAAAATACATCTAAATGTGAAGGTCTTCATCCATACTGCATTCATTTCACATGGAAGCTGATTCACATTCTTATTTAGATGCATTCCTATCCACATTTTGCTCTGACTCTGCACCATTTAATGGGATTACAGTTGGACTAGAATGGTATTAATGCTGTACTACATCCCAGTGTAGAGAGGCAAAAAATTGGGAACTTGGTCCACCTTATCTGGCCAGTAGGACATTTGGCAATTCACACAATACACATGGAAAGTCAAGATGGCAAGAAGACTTAACTTGCGACCAGAGATATCATTGCATAGTCATACCTGATTGGTTATGATATTGAATACCCTTCCCCCAGAGGTTAAGCAGGCCCCTACTCTCCTGAATTTCTGGAAGGCAGTCAAGACCTGGCTCTGCCAACTGGCATGGGGTGAGAAAAGGGGCAACCAATCCTTGGGGTGGCTAGCATCTTGAAGATGCTCCCATACGTTAATATCTTTTCAATCACCAGCATCTTGGAAAATATTATTATTTATGTATGCATTTGGTTTTATTGTATTTTTATACTATTTATATTCTATTTTAACGAATAGTTATTTTTGTTTTTATTGTAAACCACCCAGAGTCACTTCCTCGTGAGATGGGCGGTGTCTAAATTTGACATTTAAATAAATAAATAAATAAATATAAACTAGGTAATCTCTGAATAGCTAGGACCATATAATGAAGCCACTCGTTCAGGTTAAGGAAAAAGAATGCTGAAGCAGCCGAAAGTCAGAAAAACATTGGATGCAAAAATATGCGAAAGGGTGGAAGATGTTTATTTTCTCAACCTCAGAAATATTTTCATAAAAAAAAGAAAGCAACATTTGATGCAACATTTCTTAAAGTATATTTTGGAAGGTCATATAAGGAGAAGCCCCAGCCTGCTGTCTTCAAGATTCACAAGTGGAGAAGAAGTTATATTCTTCCCTTGTTAGCTTCAGACTTCTAGGACTCAACAGCATTCTTGCTCAGAATGCAGATTTATTCTCTGTCTGTAGTTAAAGCTATCTAAAATACTGTACTGGCAAAATAATATCTTCTAGCAGATGTGGAGGGACAGACATTTTTCTTATTTTTAATTTAGACAGCTAGCAGTATGAAGAGTCAGTGATCCAGTGTGGTTGTCTATTTCTTGTTGCTTTTATGACTGCTAGGACCTTCAGCGTAGGCAGCATACAAATGGTTGTGTAAATAAAAATAGGATCTGAATGCAGCCGATCCAGGACAAGCAAAGGAAACTATATAACACATAATGAACTGACAGAGTCCACTGCTACAAGAAAAGATGATAATTACTACATTAAATTTTGTTTCTTAAAGAAGGATTAGATAAATGAATGAAAGATAAGTAGACCACCGGCTACAACTAAACAGAACCTCCATGAGCAGAAGCTAGATGCTGTACCTCTGAAGCCAACTGCAAAATTGCAAAAAAAAAAAAAAAAAAGCTGTTGCACTCATATCTTTTTTTTTTTTTAGCTTCTCAGAGACAATTTGCTGATCACTGCAGAAAACAGAAAGTTCATTTAGATGGAATGTTCATTTTGTTCAAGACCATGTCTCCCTGTCTGATGTGTATGGTTTGCTATGAATGCATATGGTGCCTTCAGAATGCCTTGAAGGAGCTTAGACTGTACAGTCTAACATTTGGCCTGGGGAGACAATAGGAGGAGGGTAGGGATCTGGAACTAAAGATGAACAGGGAAAAATGATGTATTTATTTTACATACATAAGCTTAATTATAGAAGAGTTTGATGGCTAGAGAGATGTGCCCAGGTTTTATTTATTTATTTATTTATAAATCATATTTATACGCCACCCATCTCACTATCCATGACTCTAGGCGGCTCACAAATAAGAAACATAAAAACATTGAAAACTGCAAAATGCATTAAAAGACTGTAGACAAAGTTAAAAGGCGGAGAGAGTGTCCTCAAGGCGCCAACTGCCCTCAGTGCTGGGAGCTCCCATTGGATCCCCAAGCTAGTCGGCAGAGCCAGGTCAATGCTCTTTTGGAAGGCCAGGAGAATGGGGGCCAACCTCACTTCAGGAGGCAAGATATTCCACAGGGTGGGGGCGACGGCACAAAAGGCTCTCCTTCTAGACCCAGCCAGTTGAAATACTCTAATCAACGGGGTCCGCAACATGCCCTTCCTGCTGAACTGGGTGGGATGGGCTGATGTAACTGGGACGAGGCAGTTCCTCGGGTAATCTGGGCCCGTGCCATGGAGGGCTTTAAAGGTCATAACCAACACCTTGAATTGGACCCGGAAGCAAACTGGCACCCAATGCAGCTCATGCAGCAGAGGCGTTACATGCACAGCTCTAGTGGCACCCAAATCTGCTCACACCGCCACCTTCTGTACCAGCTGCAGCTTCTGGATACTTTTCAAGGTTAACCCCATGTACAGCGCATTGCAACAGTCCATGCGGAAGATGACCAGGGCATGAAAAGCACCTTCAGAAAAGGTGCTTTTTTGAGGAAGGCATTTGGAGCAAGAACTTGAGGTGAGAAGGAAGGTGTCTCCAGATAAAAGAACAACACAGAATGGAGTTGTTTGAGGGGAGAAAAACTTTTCAGAAAAGCAACAGTTGCTGCCTGAGATTTATCAGGATATGAGGGGAGAGAAGGCCACATGAGGCTTTGAAAGTAATTACTATGAGCTTCTGCTAGCAATATTACAGCTGAAATAAGCAATCCAGGGGAGGGATTTAAGGACATTATGCTTAGATTCAGAGTATTTAAGAGTAGGGAGTGCTTTGGATAGCAGAGTTTTGGATAGGTGTGAAGAAGGAATAATTCCTGTAGTCTTGTGCTGTGTTATTAATTAGGCTTCAGTAGTCACTGCCTCCAGACAGGGCTGCTGATGTAAAGAATTGCCAAGGAAGCCATTAGGCAATTCCAAGTATCCTACTGTAGGCTTGCATGCATTAGGAGAGGAAAGCCCTGACA